CTCCACCCAGACGGTGCTGTCCATGGGTGCGGGTCGCCCTCCAATCGCTCCCGTCTTCCCAATTTTCCAGAAAAACCAGATATCCTCCCACTCCACTCAGAAGAAATCCAGTGATCATCAGGCTAAATATCCACATATCTTCGACGTCCTCAATGGACAGCTGAGAGAGACATACGACCTTCCACTCCTTCCAGGAATCGAGCATATATCCCGCTGCATGTGTCCCATGAGGGCAAGTGGAAGCCCCCTCCTCCGTTCTCATTCTAGAAAAAATCTTATCAATCGCGTTGAATGACCAATTAATTAAATCCATTTCTGAAAAATAGGGATTTCCAGAAGAAATGCAGAGAAGTACTCTGTAGGCAGACAGGACAAAAGAGCCTTGGGAAAAAAAAGATAAGGGAGCAAAGCAGAAGCGTCTGTGCTCTATGAGTGCCAGGACGTGTATGCCCTAATAAGCCACAAGTTTTCTGCTGTACCAAACTATGTTGTTAGAAACACACAAAATATTGCTGTTTATTCATAAATCTATAATGTTTAGTACATTTTTGACATACGTAGGACTCCATGTTTTCCGCACGCAATGCACTTTGGGGGGGCGACGACGTATAATGGTTGCTCTTGGAAGTATAGCTATTGACGCTAGTGTTTGTTTACGCGCTCACCATATTAATAATTAAGTTAAATGCTGCATTGTGCTGCTTTTGGATGTAATTTCCAGTCAAAGGGCAACAAGGGGAGTGATGTGCGTTTACACAGCTCTCCTACTGGCAAGAAGAGGAGAAAGCAGTGGGAAGATGCCTGTGGATGACACAACTTCCCAAAGATCTGCGGCTGTGTTCCCAACATTTTTCTCCTGATGCGTTTGAGGCTCATAGTCGACCACAACTACTTAAAGAGTTCCCCAGAGTGGCTGGGTATAAGAGAAGGCAGAAACTAAATGATTTACCAACCATTTTCCCACACAAGAAACCTAAACGCCCTCGGAGAGACAAGAGAAGCTGGACGCTCTCCTGAGCAGGCAACACGCTCCTGCAGCTGCCGCTTCTGTCATGTTGGGCGAACTATCAGACAACACACCACTTGTCACGGATGAAGCTGAACATTCACCTCTCCCGTCAGTAAAACAAGCAGTAAGTGTAGCAATACAGTGTTCTCCAAATAAATAATATCTGCAAAAATGATTAACGTTGTTTCACTGAGTATCCTAACCATCTATAAAGCACACAACAGCTCTGGATGATAAAATTCTCCTAAATCATTCATAATTGAATAAGTCTGATCAAACAATAGTTTACTGTTAACTTCTGCTGGCAAAAATGTGAGCTTTTGACAACAAACACTCCCTCTCTGTTACTATGGAGACAATGTTGACGCACACGCACCACCGGTTTTGTCCTCCACTCGCTTCATCCCGCCCTTCTTGCTCTTCATTTTGATGTTCGTTTTGTGAAACATCGTCAGTGATGTCCTCATTAATGTTTCCCAAAGCCAGCCGGTGCAACCGAGGTACAACCATATGACGTCACTACCCAGAGTGCAGTGTGCAACGCTAACAACAATGGCGACCTACAAGTAAAACAATTTTTAACAAATTTTATAAAAATGAAGACATCAAGAAGGTTTTTTTACACTATTTTAATATAACTGATACTAACATTTATCGTTTAAGAACCACAATGTTTTGTAACCTGGGTTCCTTTTAAGGCAATGAATTCTTCGTGCTCTTTTACGTGCCGACAGCTCAAGTGCTTAATAAGGTTGCTCATGTTGAATTTGGCAGCATTCACACCTCGCCTGGCAACTTCTGCCCTGCATATTAGGCATGTAGCATCCTGCTTGTAGGGTTTTCCAAAGAAAAAGAATGTCAAATTGCTGGCATTGCTAATGCTAATTGCTAGCAAAACAATGACTCGCGCACAGCTGTCCCTCTCTGCTTAGCAGGATTGCGTCACTTCCTTTGTCAGTTTGTGGTGGGATTGAGCAGGAGAAGATACCGTTTACGTTGTATTGGTTCATGTTTAGAAATAAGTCCTTGCTGATTCAAATACCCTCATTTTTGCCAGGATCAGCGAGTATTTTCGATGCTGGCATCGGCATATCCCTAGTTTGGACATGTCCAGAGGAGAGGCATTTAAAACATAGATAGAAGGATAATAAGGTTGAAGCCACCAGGCAGATGGCTGAGAGAAAGACCAGAAAGGGAGATTCATGAATGGAAAGAGAACATTAACTTAGATGGCAGACTAAATGGAGACAGATGGTTAGCTGTGGAGACACCTGAAGGGACAATATGAAAGAGAAAATTAGTTTTTTTGTTTTTATCACACTTGCATTGATAAAGATCTGGAAATGTGTTTATTATACACAAAGTTTAGTTAAACTCAAACGTATTCTAGGTCGTTAATGTGTACATGTAAAAACTTGGTGTGTCAACCTGGTAGCCCTTCATATGACTCAATAATCATGAAGTAGCTCTCAGATTAACAAAGGTTGTTGACCCCTGACAAATCACACCCCTCAGAGTTGTCATGACTGTAAACTTGACCTTAATAGATCTCACATATTTTGTGTACCATGCTGTAAACATGTTTATTCCTGCTTTGAAGTTGGCATTTTTGAACATAGTCAATGGGAATCTGCTCTGTTTTGGATCTGGTCCCTAGTGGATGAGGGGGGAACTGCAACTTTTGCCACCTCTGTGTTGGTTTCAAATTTGGAGGCCAAAAATGGGCCTTTGCTTATGTCCTAAATCACACATATGTTGAACTTTCTGGGGGTATCCTGCCACGACTGCAGCAATCTATCTGGTCCTTTAAATGACTCCCGCAGTGTTGAATCCGTTTTTGGCAGACCATCGTTTGATGGTACAACACCAGCTGTGCCTCATAGTGAGGGTTAAAGCTACTTGAAATATGAGCAATGCCACTACTTTTAAACATATATTCATAATATTAACACATCTTTTTTATCAATGCACTTCCTAAACAAGTGAAAGCAAAACTTAAGGACAACTTGGATGAATTTTCCTTTTTTCTTTCTATTTTAATGTTTTGCTGAAAAGTATCAGATCAGGACTCGGTAGATACTCAAAATCAAATGACTTGGACTCGGGAGCAAACTGAAAACACTCCTCTAAGCACCAAGTTTACGATTTGCCAACTTTGAAGCCCAGAAACTAAGATTTCAACCACTCAGTAGTTCGTCCGTGGCGAACATGAAAAGCTCGCCAACCAATTTCGAAACAGAGCTGATTGAACTCCACTTTGGTGACATACTCAAATCAGAGTATGGCTCTATGGCTGCTGTAGTTTTTATCTCCCCTCCCCAACACATTGACCCAACTCCAGCCTTAGCTGCTCAGACTCTCACCAGCACATACCTATGTAAGCAACTGTTGTCTGTGATAAAGACGAACCAAACAACACAGGAGTCTCACTGATGAACTCCTTCCCCAACTCAGAGCCCAACCCCAAAGACGCAGGTATCTGGCTGGAACAGATGAGCATCAGAGTAAATCAGTGTGGAGCAAACTGAGCTTGAATTATTTTGTTTTCATGCACTTTTTCTGCTCCAAAGCATGAAAGTTATTAGATGAGATATTCTCATTAAAGAGAATTAATTTTTTTTTTCTTGTTGGCCTGTAAAAAAAGATGAAACCTACTCTATATGGGGGTAAGAAAGGCTACAGATAGACGAATAGATTAGAAATAGAATAGAAAATCCATTTACTGTCCCTCAGTGGGGAAACTTTGGTGTCACAGCAGCAATAACATTCATTTCAGGAGCAAAAAAGGAGAGTAAAAAAAATAAGAATAAAGAGTAAACATCAATGAAACATAAAACAGCAACACTTAAATGATTCAAATTCTAAAATGCTGAATATATACACATGTTAAGGAATAAAAAGAGTGAAATAAATCGAGACATAAGTAACAACTGATGTGTTTTATTTAAAATGTATTTGGTCGTGTGTAATTTGGTCATATCAGGTTCGGTGTTTATGCAAAAATAAATTTGTTTCCAAATGAAAATATTCAACAACACATATCTGAAAGGAAAATGTGTACATTTGCGGTCACTTTTCCAAAAAATATTGAGTTTGGCCCACGACTTTGTCCCAATTAATCATTTTGGTCCATTGAGTTTGACACTTCTGGTCTATTAGCCTACGGTAAATTCAACAATAATCTGTAATTTTTTCTATAAAATTAATGTTACAGGTCTCTAAAAGACATAAACACTTAATCCTTACCTGTCCTCCAAAAGAAACTGTGCCACCTCCCCGTCAGTTTTGAGCCTTTACGTGTCGATAGCCCTTGTAGATCACAAAGCTCCCGCCATCTTTTAAAAGCATCTCCAACGTAAATTCTACTCCACTGCGTAAACTTGTCACAGCACGTTTTTCAGAAAGACTTTTTAAATTACTAAATTATCTTTGAGAAGTAAAAGGCAGTCATCTTGAACCCTCTCAGGCTCAAAATAAATTTTGATAAAAGGACAAACAGCTAAGTCCTTCAGGGGTACTTCTCAGTTAAAAATGCTCATGAAATACGTGTGTGGAGCAACCAGGTAGGTAGGGTTTAACCAACACTGCAGATCTGCAACGCCTGCCTCCAGAGGAATCACTTTGGCAGTTCACTCCACTGTGAACCTCCAGCTGGCTCATTGTCGTTGATTGGCAGCGCCCTCTTGTGGCTATGTGGAGTAGAGGCATAAATGACGTGTCAAAAAAATATTATGTATATATATATATGTATGCATAGATGTGTAAGTATATCTATATGTATATATATGCATATATGTGTAAGTATATCTATCTATATATATATATATATATATATATATGTAAGTATATCTATATCTAGGCTTGCATAAGTGATTTGTTTTGTTGACTGGGGACTCCCCAGTGGGGAGAGATTGAGGGGAAATATAAATTCTGAAAGTGTATCTACTTTATCCAAAGCAAATTTATTGGGGGGAAAAAAAAACAACATCCATCAATGTTTTACATTTTTATTTCAGATAAGAATATACATTTATGAACAGCATCCTTATGAGCATACAGCGCTGATCACACATTTTGACTCTTGTTATATAATTATATATATATATATTTTTTTTTCATTTGCAGCTTAGTAGAGGTTTAGAATTATGTGCTCAATTTTCCAAGGTGTGAAGAAACCAGACACCAAAGACCGAGCACGGATGTAAGACACAGTGATCATGTTCTGGACATGTGTGAATTATTATGAAAGCTGTGTGCATTTTTTACACTGATGATTCACTACAGGAGTGTGCCATTATTAAGGCAGCTTTATTCATATAGCACATTGCATACACAGAGGTAGCTCAATGTGCTTAAACAGTAAACGGTAAAATGTTAGATATGTGCAAATAATAAATGTAAGGGTTTATTCCCATTACATACACAAGAACTGGAAACCTAAGTTGTTAAAAAAATAAACATGACAATTCAGTACATAATATAATCATCAATGGGTTTTATGGAAAAAAAATGTTCCCATATTAACAAAACTTTTAAATGCAGGACATATTGCAGTAAATATAAATATGTGTTTAGGGGAAGATTCCAGTGGAGCATTTCACAGCTCAGATCCAGTTGTACTTGCTGATCCGCCTCAGTGCACAGCAGGGATTGTGTCAGTCTGCAGGCCAGGACTTGTGGGGGCTTGTGGGGCTTCTGGGCTGAGTCTTTGGACTCCCCTGAAAAGCAAAATAAACCGAACATGGTCAAGGTGCAAAGATATGAAGTCTTTGTGGGTTGGGCTAAATTTATGTGAAACCACTTATAGTTGCAATATTTGGTCCTTTTTAAGTTCAAATAAGCTATTCTTTGTTGATAGTCATGTTTTCTAATAATTAAATTACATCCCAGTTAATAATGTAGACTGGTTTTAAATGCAATAGAATGGTGTCTAAGAGTGTCAGTTAAAACATTTGCAAAGGGACTTGATGTAATGTTGAATAAGCAATAAAAATTATACTTCTATAAAACAATATATAACAATATATAAAGCAAACAGTATACTTTACATATGCTTGAGAATGAATGTGGGTTCTTTATTTGCCATCTCTACGTGAAACCTACAGTCCAGGCATATTGGATGTATAGTGCAGAGTTCTCTAAGTCAACAATTAATGAATAAAAGAATAAACTATATTTTAAAAGGATATAAGTAAAAATTCAAGAAGTCCTAACTGAGGTGTAGTGTAAACACAAATTACATTTCTGGGCAAATGTAAAGGGTACGTGAGCTATTACAGAGTTAGGAGTACAGCACATTTCCAAAAGTTCAAATTTACATGCAGCCAGTAACCCTTTTAAAACCCAAATATTCACAATAACCCAGTTCCGCAGGTCCATGTAAACACCGCCAAAAACCCGGATATGCTCATAACCTGGTTTTTAAAAACCCGGTTACTACACCTGGGGTAACCCTTTTCTAACCCGAATGTTTGGTCGTGTAAACGCATATCGGGATATCCCCATCAAAGCGTGTGTTCTGCACATGCTCTGTTCGCAAGGAATCTTGGTCTTTTGAGTAGCGAGACGTCTTGTATGCACCAGAACACCGGAAGTAAACAAGTTGGGAGCAACATGGCGAGTCGCGGCACAGCACCACACTTTTGGAGTGACGAGGAAACTAAAGCACAAACAAACGCGGTCGCTATCTCTTCCGAACTGGGAAACATGTTGTTGTTTTCATGGATACCGGAACAAGAAGAATCGGAAATGACGCATATTGCGTCTGGACGTAGTCCATACGTCCTGACGCTACCCCAATGTCCGCATTTACATCGGGTTATGCAAGTTAGTGGTAACTCTTTCTATTTATGCTTGTAAACGGGTTATTCTGATCAACTCAGAAACCCGAATACCGACCTTAACCCGATCATAACCCGGATATTGGCTGCATGTAAACATAGTCACTGTGTCTAAACCTGATTTGAGAGACTGGTTTTTATATTACTTTCTGATTTTATGTAGTGTTTCTCTTTTATAAGATTGAATAGTTGATTTTTTTTGCTAGCAGACTCAAAACAGAGATGACTTTTTTGCATGGTTGTAAAAGCAGGAATCTCTTTAAGAGTCTTGTTGACACCTGAAGGGGGCAGCAGAGCATGATCAGTCAGCACTGCCCACACCCTTACAGTCTCCCACCTGAAGGGGGCAGCAGAGCATGATCAGTCAGCACTGCCCACACCCTTACAGTCTCCCACCTGAAGGGGGCAGCAGAGCATGATCAGTCAGCACTGCCCACACCCTTACTCCTATCTGACTTTAAAAACAAGAGAAGCTACAGCTAGGCTTTGAGCCTGATCTGCAGCAGCCTAAGCACGTTTGACAAGCACCATATTCAAAGCTTGTGACTTGACCTTTAAACTGAACAGATAAAAAGTAAAGAATTGACCTTTTTTTGGACTAAACCATCTTTGCTCTACAAAAGTCTGCAACCATCCTTTCTATTGATGATATGAGAGGTCCTTTGGGTCTCAATAACCGGCTGCAGAGGAGAATGTGGATGAGAGAACGCACTCACCAGAGCAGCCTGGGTCTTAGCGTAGTTCATATGTGCATAGAGAAGCACAGCTGTGTCATTGTGGGCTGCTTCCAGTGCAATGGACAGAGCATTACTGCCATCCTGCAAACATGAGAGAAAAGCAATACAACGAGAGAAACTGTGAGGTCAGAGAGCTGAGCTGAAACAGACTCTCCCAGTTTCACATCAGCTGTGCGATTCACATAATTTGTTGATTATGGTCGGTTACGTTACTATCCTGCATCTGTGATTAGCCAGCAAATAAAAAACAAAACAGGACATTCTTCTAACCCCCATCCCAAAAATGAATCTGCCTTTGCCACTTTAAGTTTCTCGTCTCTCATTTGTCAAGTGGAACGTATCAAATCTAAAACACATGATGCTGGAAATTCTTCCACATTGGATGAGCTGCTGGTAGTTTCATCAGCCCTTTAAATGGTAAAGTGTTTGATAGATGGAGATGCATCATGCAAGCTACTTTTAACTTCCTGTAACTCAGCCTAATAGTGGCAGTTTATCTTTTGTTTCTGTTTCTCCTCCGGAATGAGGAGGTGGGGGCTTTTCCAAACCTCCTCCCTCCCTCCTGTCCAGCTGTGCTGCATGAAACACAACCCAAACGTTGCCTCTACCAAATGGCCTGCTCATTCTGGCACAGATGTGAACTCAAATATCTGTCTGCCTGGGTTCTTCTCAAGCATCCAGACAGAGCAGCTTGCTGTAAAATCACTTTAAAGTTCACTGAGCCGATTTAGACAAAGTCGTGTCGGAGGAAGTAGCGAAAAGAGTTTACTTGTTTAGAAAAGTGTCGTAACAAATGTTAAAATTACATTTCTTTACATTTAGACCTTCTAGAGTCAACTTTTAATCCCTGGTAAAAGTTTCTGCTTGTTACAGCCGATTCCTTCACAACTTGTTTGATTAAGTATGCAAAGATGCAGCACAAGAGCCCGCGAGGCGTTTGTGAACACAGAGGGGGTTGTTGCTCTTTAATTCTTCCCCTGGGACATGTGAGCAGCACAACAACTGTGTTTCCTGTGCCTAGCACTGATCAGACTCAAAGACAGACGACACTAATCTGATTGCAGCTTTTATCTTTTTGGGGGGGTTTTTTTGGAATGAGAAAGTATTTCAAAAACTCCCAGAGAAGTGTGACATGGAGAGGAAGCTGTGTGGACAAGTTTCCCAAGAGGAGTCGTTTCCTGAGCAGAGTGAGCTGAATCGCAGATGAGAACGTTTTCACGTTTCCCACCAGACAACTGGATTTTGGAATTTGGCTCAGAGTTAGAAGCCTTAATGTTCCTGTAATTTGGCGAATTGGCTTAAAGTCTTTAAAAGCCTTACATTATCCACAATGAAGATGTCGCAGCCTGGCTGTTCGAGGAGGAGTTTGACGATCTCGGCTCGGCCGTGCTCACTGGCACACATCAGAGCCGTGGACCCCTCATCGTCCTGCACGTTTACATCAGCGCCACACTCCAGCAAGGCCCGCACCATCTCCTGCCGCCCGTGGCTGACCGCTAGCATCAGTGCTGTCTGGCCGGCCTGCAAAATTAAAGACAAAAATGTTTCATTCATTGGTCAGACAGCTAATTCTGACTCTTACCCGCCTCTTCTTGAGAAGAAATATTGTGCAAGCACAGTTTGAGGTAATAAATACTGTCAAATACACACATGCATCAATGATCTTTCAATCATGCTGATTTTGTTTGAACATAGCAAAATAAAGGGAGCTTTATTCATGTTTTGCATTTTACTATCGCTGAATAAAATTTATGTCATATTTGTGTGCATTTTTACCCAGGATGCATCAGTAATCAATAGGTTGTTGACTCATTTATCACTTCCTGTTCAACAGACACTCTGTAGTTGGCAGTAAACTGAATTCTTCATGCCTTATTCAATCTTGTGACATCAGACCAAAATCACACAGCTGTGGTTAGATTAAGGATTTGTTCCATTTTTATAAAGCCTGTACAGTTTTTGATTAATTTTAGTGACATGACAGCATCTGTACACTTAGCTCATTAAAACAGTTTAACAGGGACTTTGATTGGTTATTTTTTTAAAGATTTGAGTCCCAAAGCTGCACTAAACATAAACAAAAACAATGGCAAGGCTAATTCCAGAGCCTAAATTGCTTTGCGTGCCACATGGTTTACTCCTAACAGCAACAACAACAAGCACCAGTAATTGGGTTTATAGAGAGCGAAGCTATAAATTCAGTCCCATGACTTGGCACGGCGAGAGCCAGTCAGGCGCCACAGACGCTACACAACCTGATTAAATCAACTCCGGAGATAAACTATACGCTCACTAAATCTACATTTTTGTTTGGTGAGGTCTAAAACACCTCACACACATCTCAAATGAGCTTTCTAAACAATACTATTCACATGATAAATGGTGCAGATCAGTGATTCCGTTATCAGCAAGAGGGAAAGCTGTTCTGTGTTCAGATCTGAAAAGATGAACAAAGGGAAGATGTGAGGTCAATTGAACTCTAAAAAATTCCCATTGTGTTAAATCTTTTTAGAGAGTAAATATGTCATGTTTTATATTTTTATTAATCTTCCTTAATTAAGAAAAAACACGCAGAGGAACTCGTGTTTGGGTCGGACGGTCTGGAGCTGGCAAGAGAAACCAAACCAAAAAAAATTATATAACTTTTTTCTCATCTAAGGAATCATTTGTTTTCACCGCTAATAAAGTTCTTAGAATACAAACAAACTAAATAACTGTTAGATGGGTAAGAGGTTGAGATGAACCGCCAACACTACCGTACCTGGCTGGCCTTGGCGTTGACGTTCCCCTGACCGAACAGCTTCTTCACCACAGCCATGTCTTCCTCTTCCTTTACAGTAGAGAGAGCCGCCAGCATGATGGCTGTGTAGCCCGCCTTGTTCTGCTTATCCACGCAGCACACACCTGTCAGAGTCAGGCAACACCGCCGGTGATGTCAGCGTGAAAATTAGAGCAGGAAACAAAATTCTGATGTCCAATCCGACCACTTTGGAGAAACCAGATAACTGACCGACCTGTGTCCAGCAGCAGCCTGACCACGCCAAAGTTGGAGTGGGAGACGCTGTAGTGAAGAGCTGTGTTGCCATTGCCGTCCGTCATGTTGACGACGTGCTCCAGCAGCACCGAGGAGACCTCAGAGAACGCCATCAGGTAGTCGGATACCCGCGATGGCTGTGCCATCTTGCCACTGGAGACCCGGAACCACTCCAGCTGGACGGTGTGTGTGCTGGACAGCTGAGGGTGAGAGTATGAAGAAAGACACCAGACAAGTTCTAACAACTCAACCCTGCTAATAAGATGAAAGTTTCCTGAATGTCAGACACAGTTGGCAGTTTTGCTTGCTTTTAGCACCCCCTAGTGTTCGTTTAGTAGAACCAAAAGCGAAACTTATCTCCTCACTGTGTGTTCCTCTTTTTAACATCTTAATCTAACAACTGAAACATCTCCTCAGCCTTCATTGGCGTCTACAGGAGTGGTTCACCACTAAATTAAACAAACCATCTGTGTTCGTGATCCAAAACAACCAACAAACCAGACCAGCACTCTGAAGTTGCAAATGTGGTATACTGGCCACAGAGGGCGTTGGGGGTCTGAGTGACATTTCATTAACACTGTAAAGGGTCATTTTAGCACATACTGGCTCAGGAAAATTACTTTAAAATATGAAATTTTGGCATGATATGGATATGAATAATGCTGTTGTTGACTTTCCTTTGCTGTGTTGAAATGATGAATGAACGTGCGTCGCTGGAATTAAAACTCAGAAAAAGGCTTGCACGCACCACTTCCTTACTCTTCAGTGCTTTGATGTCATCGTTCAGGTGGTTCTTCAGAATGAGGCAGGCCTCTCGCATTTTGGAGCTAAATTCAAACCTGTGATAAATGAACAGAACTCAGTTTGGGTTTGGTTTGGATATACTAGCATACATGTTAGTTAAAGCTACTTTTCTTTCACAGCGTCGGACGAATAATTCGCAGCTCTCAGCGTTTCCTCATCAGTGTCGCTCTCATCCAGGTTGACGTTTCTCTCCTCTTCCGAAGTCTCTTCCTCCAAAGCTGCCTCGTCCTCTTCTGTGCTGTCCAAGCACTCGCCTTCTCCACTTGCTGCAGAAGAACTTCCATCTTCGTCCTCTTCCTCTTCCTCACTAGATGTTGATTCATACCTAAAGGGCATACATTTGTGTAAAGACACTTTCCTAGCTGACCTTTGACTTATTTTGACAGGATTTTATGACCATAGTGTTCCTACCAACCTGTGGGCGGTCAGCTCTTATTTTAGTTTAGCTCAGATAAAAATAAAAAAACGGGTTTCATGTTGCCGTCACGTACCCTCCGTTTAGGATTCCAACAAACTGCAGGCTCTTCTTCCGATTCTCGCTTGAGCTACTCCCATCCTTCCTCTTCATGATGGATTTCAGCATACCTGTCAGCACGAGGAAGACGAACAGCTTAAACAATAGTACAACTTTATGAACACATCCTTCTCGCACAAGCAACGACCGACTTAAATCTGTCACTTTAACAAAAAATAATTAGATACATGTTTTCGTAGATAAGCCAAACCTCAGGAAACTATTTTTTCTGTCTTGATTTCTGAATAATTTCATAAACATGTTTTGGAGTAAACAAAGTCATTTGTAAGAAATATACTCGAAGCACACGACTGAGTTTTTTTTTTTCCAAACACAATTACTGGACGGCCAAATGAACTGTTTGTGATGCTTTATATCCAGAATGAAGTCTTACAGCACCACAGCAGTTTATCCTCAGAGCTTTTGTCTTTGCAGTCGCTACGAGGAAGAACAATTCCCCTTCTCACTTCCACACGAGGTGCAGCTTTTAAACAAGGTTACAGATAAAAACTATTGCTCAGTAAAATGAAGAAAACAAGTGTCTAATCCAGAGATTTCTCTTTTATAAGATAAAAAGTTTGAATATGATGCAAAAGTTGATTTCTGTCAGTAATTCAACTTAAAAGGTGAAACTAATGTTTGAGATAGACTCGTTAGATGTAAAGCCAGATGTTTCAGCCTTTATTTGTTATAATTGTGATGATTATGCCTTACAGCTTATCAGAAGGTGAAAAGGTTTAATATTCTACACTCCGAGTGTCACCCTCTAATCTGCTACTGAATCCAGAACACCTGTAAAGGGTTCCTGAGCCTTTAGATGGTCTCTCAGCTGAATTACAGAAATAAATGGACTTTTACACTAAACTCTAGTTTTTACTGTTTTACTTGTAGATGGTAAGGACTAGGCAAACTTTATAATTATATATAGAAACGCATAATGAGAATTATGTTTATTTCTGTTTTCTCCTGAGTACTGTCAATCAAAACATTATGTTTCTAACTTTGACTTTAGAGGACACTTGTTCTAACACACTTGCCTGTCTTTGTGTTATTAGCTGTAATTTCTTCTTCTTCCACTTTTTTCTCATCTGCTCCGACCACCTCTTCTTCTGGGGAGACCTCGTACTCAGCAATGGTCAGCTGTCTTTTCTTCAGCACAGTAATTTTCTCCTCGTCCTCCTCGTCTGACTTCTCATCACTCATCTTCTCCCACTGGCATCCAACGCTGACCCGTTCCACAGGTTCTGATGCTTCCTCTGCAGCAGAAGCATCAGTCTGGGTGTTCTTCTCAGCCTGAGTTACTACCCAGACTTCACCAACGCATACGTCTGTCATCTCTGGCTGACACATAACTGCAGCGTGCTTTACTACAGAGGTGCACGTCTCTACCTGAGCATTTTTTGTGTCTGGTCTGGTGAGTGTTCCTTTCTCAAATGTGACTTTAGAGGTTTTTTCATCCATCTGGGTCCTAAGTATTCCCATGTCTTTATCAGCTAATTTCAGTCTATCTTCTAGAGCTGTAATGAACTCCTGCTGGAACTTAATGGTGTCTTGTAATGTGTCCATCTCCCGTTGTGCCTCGGTGCTCAGCCTGAGTTGTGACTCCATGACCCAAACCTCAGCCTCTTGTGTCTCTGCTCTGACTTGTACGCCCTCCTCGTGGAACACGAGGGTCTCGGTTTCGGTCCATTTCTCACACGTGTTCACTTCCGTGCACGCAGATGCATCCTTCACACCGAGGCTGTGGTAGAACACAACAGAGGTCATGGCCGTGTCGTCTCCTACAGCTACTGACTTCTTTAGAACGGCCGTTTTTTCTGGAGAATTTCCTAAATCTTTAGATGGCAGTTGGAGAGATTTTTGATCCTTTCCCTCAAACTTCTCCGTCAGTCTTTTCAGCTCACTAGATTTCACTAGGTCTTTTTGTCTGCTGGGTGAAGTCACTGGACTGTGGTGGGTTTGGAGGGTCTCTGTGGTTTGAGTAGAGGACTCTGTTGACTGGTTTTTCTGCAAAGAAACTTCCATGGATTCTTTCTTCTCCTCCAGGGCCAACAGAAGCATGTCTTTCTCTGCACGAAGCTTGGCCACCTCCTTTTCAAGAGCAGGAACACCTTTTACCCTTTCCTCCATCTCCTTTAGCTGCTTCAAGGCTGTAGCCATCTGCTCTCTGACTGTCTGCAGCTGGTTGGGTGGAATCGGGGTTGCTGTGGTGCCAGCAGCTGGAGTGCTGCGCCCAGAGGTCTGAGGACTGGGTTTAGTCCAGCTACTCTGCAGAATGGAGATGGAGGATGGGAGCTGCTTGGGAGGGTCTGCGAGCTGGAGGCGCCCACCGTTCTGGTGCTTGTGGGTTTGCTCCTGCTGCAGCCGCCTGCTGGTTTCCAGAAGAGTCCGCTCAACTCTTGGATTCCGTTGCGGCGGAGGTGGTGGCACTTTGGCCCCAGCTGACAGGGGAGGGCTGCCGAGGAGCGTAACAGGAGACAGACAAAGACCTTCACAGGGTGCAGAGCCGAGGCGGTTTCGTGGAGGAGGCGGTGGAGGAGCTCTTCCATCTTCACTGACCGGGGACGAAAGGGATTCGGTGGATGTCCATCCACTCGTACGTCCCCCAACACCCGGACTCCTCTGGGAAAGCCTGAGTCCTCGCCCAGAACGCCGGGCGCCGACAGGTGCCCGGCGAAGGTTGTGCCCACTTTCAATCTCTTCTACATATTTAAGGAAGTCCAGGTCCAGCTGGAATCCATAAGGAGTCTGAACGGAGTAGGAACCTGACTGGTCAGCCTCCTCCTGACTGGAATAAACAAATGCAGAGCCTAAATCTGAAAAGAAAAAAAGACGTGCCAGTAAACAAAGTGATCCGGCGTCTCCGTTCTCCGAGGTCCACCTTAAACATCTGATTTCAGATTAGATTTAACTGCAAACTGATGGTAATCATCTAGATTTTGTTATAAACTGATGGTTAAACACCAGTGTTGTCACATCTAACGTTCTGAAGGAGACAAAACGTTTATATTTATAGTGAGATTTCTTACCAGGCATTTTTGGATTAACTTGCACCGACTGGGTCATTTTTCAGAACCGAACCCTTTCAGCGCCCACAGCTTCAAATGGGGTCCGGGCTGAAAAAGAGAAGAGAGCATTCAGTGATGCATCTGCCATGGTTGTTTGGGGGCCAGGAGTAAAGAACTTCAAGATGCGCCACCATAGCAGCCAAAATTGAAGAGTGAAATCCCGTTTGAAAGGTGGATATAGATGCTTCTTTATTAAAATTGTAAACCAAGTGAAGAGAAGCCTGAAGAACTTTTTTATGGCTCATTACCGCATGGGGCAAGCTTGACTGGGTTCAAAAGAAAATAAATCTCCTCTTTCTCAGACAGGTTTCATTACATGCATCCCATGTTTACTTTTCCTTCTTAGAGGGGGCTTCAATCCATTCACACTTCAAACCACACGATAACCGCTCCATTAACAACATCACTGAACCGCTTCTTCCAAATGTACTCATTCTTTAAACTCCTGCTACTCCACAGCTTCTATCCAGTGTTGTTTGGTTAAAGTTTTTAGGAAATTACAAACAATTTAGGATTATTATTATTATTTTATATTTTCTGAGCTGGTGCAGTCGGACTAAAGGCTCATGGAAGAAAATGCCTTACATTTAATAACCCGAGGAAAAATGGATGAGAGTGGCAGATTTTGCCTTAAAAGCAAGACGTTTACCTCCTTCAGTCACTTAGTGAGCGATTTCAGTAGCAGGAGCTAAGGCAGACCCCCCCTTTGGTGTTTCACACTGCCCTGTCAAATAAAGACACAACAGCGATGCAAAACACAGCTGACTGAAAACCGACACACAAAAAATAACTGAGTAAATAAAAAAGCCTGACACACATGGAAATAGGAAAATCCAAGAAACATAAACACACAAGCTTTCATTCAAGTCGTCCACTTTACACTTTTATTTACTTTGCGTGGTTATTCTCACTCACACCACGTAGAAAACACCTCCTCCACACACACTTCAGATACATGCAGTCAGTTATTTAGTTTTAAACATACACACACGTGTTTCCCAGCAGCCTCGAGCACATTCCTAACACATGCTGTTGAAACACGCCACTCGTCCTCGTAGCTCACCGACTACCAATAACCTGTAAACATACACATCACTAGATCAGACTGCAGCTTTTGCACTTTTACCGTCAAAGAAAACAATAATTCTTAGACGATGAAACTGGGACAATTGAATTTTTTCATTCAAACATGCAAATAAATACGTATCTTTACATATTCTTTGGTTTTAGAGTTTTTTTCTTTGTTTCATCAGTTGGGGCGTTTTCTCCTCAGCATTCAGACAGCGTTCACCCTAAAGTTCACCCACAGCAAACATCATGCTTCAGCAGCATCCCGATCAGACACCAGCCTTACGAAAACCTTTAACCAACCGGAGCTACATTTTGTGTTTGGTTTTCTTGAGAATCAAAAGCAAAGTTTAAGTTATAAGACAAGTGGTGTGATCCTCTGTTCATTTAAAACACAGTTAAACATAGTGCTGAATGTTCTCACTTCTCTTCTGGAGTAAATAACTAAAAATGTGTAATTTGTCCAGACAAAGGCATGAGGCACATGTCACAGGGGCAGATTAGAAGTAACACCATCATTACTGCGCTGAAATTAGCTTTCTGAATGATTGATTGCTGGTTGAACACCTCAAACATGACTACTGGTGCAGCGATTTCAGTCAAATCAGATTCATCAAACAGAACTTTTCTAACACCTTCAAATGTTTCTTTTTACAAACGAATCTTAAAGGTGGGGTAGGAGGTATTTTTTCTGGTGCGTTTTTGGCCAAACTGTTTGAAATGTTCTTCACAATGTGCTGAGGGGTAGCGCGGAAAGACAGTTTAGCATCTAAGAAGTGTGACTAAGATCTTGTAAGAATTCAGATGACCGGTAAATCACCTAAACCATAATCATGAAATGCTTGGATTGATCCATATCCGAGGACGTTTTAGAGCACGGTTGCTTGGTGTGTAGTAGTTATCAACATGCATCTTCTCCAAGGTCCTCTTTTATCTTTCTAACTTCTAACTTTTATGCAGGCTAAACCGCCTCCTGTTTGTCTTGCATTTCTCGCCTCTTTCTGCTTAAACTCTCTTCACGACTTCCTTCACTCCTCACCCAAAACGTCTCTCAAAACACTCTCACACACACATCTGCCTCAGCTCCTCTTCAGTGTTGTTGTTTTTCTCTGATTTGATGACATCAAATTACAGACTGCTCAGAGAAGCAGCATTCCTTTCCTTTACACCCCCCCAATCCTGACCAGCTGAGAGCCACACTGTTGACACACACACACACACACACACACACACACACACACACACGCACGCACGCGCACACACACACACACACACAAAAGCTGCCACAAAGTCTGTAGCTAGCAGGATGAACTCTAAAGGAAAAGTTGATCTATTAGTAGAAAAGTGCAAGTTTATTTATTTCTGTACACATTTGGCCCAAATTTATGCAGGATTCAGCAGAACATAAAAGAGAGCAACAAGGTTTATTCTGGGAAAAAAGGCCAACCCATGAGCAGGTTTAGGATCCAGGTGACAATTAAATTATGTTCCATTTAGATGGAAATGGTGGAAAGGTGTGTTGGATACTCGGACTGCAATTTATACAGTTATTTTAAAAATAAACTGTAAAGGTTCAGTTCAATGAGAAACAGCTTACTTGTTTTTTTTGTTTTTTAATGTGATGGGTCACTTTGAGTTGCATATGTATGCTGAACGAGAAAATCTGTCCCCCATTGTGAACATTATCCGAAGAAGGAAAATGTACGGGAAAACTATTGGGTCGGAAAAAGCCACTCTTCTATATCCAAGGAAAAGTTAGCAGTCACGGCCTCATCCACCACGGAAGGTTGTTGAGTTGGCGGCAAGGAGAGAACAGAGATTTATGGGCTAGTGTAAGCTAACCATTAGCAAAAGCAACTCCACCAAAACGCAGGACATGTTGGTGCATGTGTTATTTGTGGAGATAACACATCATTGTTGCAAACCCAAGAAGAAAGAGCGAACAGAGGCAGCAGAAGAGTCACAATGCTGTTAGCCAATCAGAGGCGAGACATATACCTATCATTAATATTAATGAGTAAGCCATTTTCCACCCCCACACTTCTCCAACACACATCTACCCCTGAAACTGGAGCGCCAGAGCTTTTTTCCATGGGAAACAACTTAAAAGGCATTCAATCGTACCAGAGAGCACAGCAGATATGTTGGAAAGAAACTAGTGAATGGCAGCTTTAAAGGCATACTTTTCATACTTTGAAAACATTTTCTTGAGCCAGTGTGTGCTAAAACGACCCTTTACAGAGTTAATGAAAAGTTACTCAGACCCCCATCACCCTTTCTGGCCAGAATACCACACTTGCAACTTCAGAGTGCCAGTCCAGTCCCTGTTGGGCATAATAAAGTGGAGCTGACATTGGAGCAGCAGTAGCTCAACAGGTTGAGCGGGTTGTCCAGAAATCGGAAGGTTGCAGGTTCGATCCCGGCTCCGGACAGAGAATTCTGCTGTTGTGTCCTTGGGCAAGACACTTAACCCACCTTGCCTGCTGGTGGTGGTCGGAGGGACCGTTGGCGCCTGTGCTCGGCAGCCTCGCCTCGCCAGGTCAGGGCAGCTGTGGCTACATCAGTGTGTGAATGTGTGTGTGAATGGATGAATACTACAATGTAGTGTAAAGTGCTTTGGAGTCCTTACTCTGAGAGGCGCTATACAAGTGCGGGTCATTTATCATTTATCATACGTGGTGCTGGAGTCTACTTCCAGCACCTTTCCTGCAAGTTTTAAATCGTGAACACAGTTGATTTGTTTGATTTAGTGATGAACCGCTCCTGTAGGCGCTAATGAAGGCAGATAAGACATTTCAGCTTTTAGATTAATGTGTTGAAAAGACGAACCTTTAAAAAAGAAGGTAATTAAGCACAGGAAGTTGGCTCCCTTGTTTAATTCTGATTTACGAACTTAAAACAAAACTCTTGAAAATTGGAGAGAGCATGGCGCTCCGCACACCAGGACACCAGTCAGTGACTTGATGCAATTTGCTGGGTTCCTTATTTAGGAAACTTTTTACTGATTGGCTTCATGAACTGACCTGTACTGGCATGTTTACCATGTGAAGTGCCTTGAGACGACTCTTGTCGTGATTTGGCTCTATATAAGTAAACTTGAATTGAACTGAACCCACAGCAAGGATAAGTTTCACTTTTGGTTCCAGTGACGGACACTAGGGGGTGCTAAAAGTAAGCAAAACGGTTTAGTATCCCTTTAAAGTTTTGGGTGGGATTTATTTTGTTTGTATATTCTTCAAGAGAACACCATTATTTTCCACTCATTTATTTTGACTCTTTAAAGAGGGAGGCAGTAGGCAGAAAGCTCAAGCAACCAGTGACTCCACCCCCTAGCCAATCAGTGACTAACTGTTGCTGACGTCGCATTTTCTGAACAGCTCATAGGAACCACATCAAAGCAGGTACTGAAATGTTGGGGGGAAATATCCACCCGTGCTGTTGGGAAAGATGGTCCGACCGAACCAAACCAATCTGAGTTATACTGAGTAGTGCTGTTGGAAGAGAGGAACAAACAGATTAATCTGATCTCCATAAAACCAACTTAAAGGCCTTCTGTGGATAAATGTGCTCCTTCTCCTCTACCAGCAGCAAAACAAGGCAAGTACAGAGCCAACAGGTATTCAAGCATTTTCCCTGCAGGCGGAGTCGGAACATTTGACACAAAGTGTAGAAGTTTCCTGTCATCTCAGTACGACCTCACAAACGTTTCATTAACGAAGAAGAGAACATTGGTTTGTCCTGCGTTCAGCTGGATTCATGGAAGAGGAAATGTTGTGTTGGTACAAGGATGGGGGCCATGTTTTGAAACAGTGACCTCATCCTCAACGCCACCCTCTCCGCCGAGTAGGGAGGCCAAAGAGAGAAAACGGAGGAAGGGAATGTTGACATCCTCTCTGATAAAAACGATCAGACCAACTGCTTTACATGAGAAAAAACCCATTCAGAAATCAGCACATTCATTAAAAGAAAAGGCGCTAGCCATCTAAAGGCCTTCAAGCCTGTGTGCATTCCATCCTGTCAGTTCATTTTTACTATGACACACAGTTGCTAGTCTAACAATTTTTAACTTTCCCAATAATCCCTTTGACAAGACTCACTGCTGCTTGTACCAGAACTCAGAATCTCTTGGTTGTTCTAGGTACAAGGCCCAAAACCGGACCCCGGACCGAACAGTTCACTTCACTGACTCTTTGGGTGAACAGCTGAAAATTGTTTTGCATTTGAATGTGAATTGTGTTGTACAGCATTTATGGCTCTTGTCTGTGAAAGGCACTTTCATTCACTGTATTGCAGCCATAATGAAACTGGTTTTCTGTCCACATAAATATAGATTACACGTGACGTGACTTATTACTAAATACCATATAAACCCAGTGTGTCCCAGGGCGGCTGTGGTTACATTGTAGCTCATCCCCACCAGCGTGTGAATATGTGTGTGCGTGGATGAGTGACTGATTGTGTTGTAAAGCGCCTTGGGGGGTTGTAGAACCCTAGAAGGTGCTATACAACACAGGCATAACATTTAACAGAAAAATACTCCAAAATCCTTAAACACTTTTTGGACAATAAAATCGTTTGGAGAAAGTTTTTTTTTTTTGCCTTCTCTGTTTATTTTTAATAAACCGTTGACAGTTGTCCATACAACAAATAGAGCTCTAAAAGTCAGCCCTACATATCTGTGCAAATATATCAAAATGTAAAGAAATGGGATCCAAGAGGAATTGTTAGCTGTTGTGCTACAAATGTTAGACAAAAGAAACTTTCACAACAAGACAAATTCTTAGACTAAACATCAAAAAATAAGCATGAATAGAAATTGATGTATGCAGATTGCTAGGGTGTCTCCCTAGATCAACAACATATTTATAATATTCACTTGTTATATTACTGATCTCACCACTAGCAGAAGAAAAAAGGCCCTAAAACCCTAATTCCCTCCTTACAACGATGTCTGCTTAAAAATAAATCTAAATATCAAATTGATTTCAGACCTCTTCTGTACATTCATTCTGTCTTTTTTAACTTGTATTTCTTTGTTCTTTATAAACACAGCAAAAGAAACCTGCAGCTCTAAATCTGACAACCATATTTAAAGCTGTTATAGCGAATATGCAAACAAGCTAGGTTTTGAATGCAAAAACGGCCACGGAACACTCACCTGTTCTACTGGAAAACACCCAAGCATGTAATGAATGGAGGACCCAGAGAAATGTAGCGAGACAGACAACTGGGTGGTTCGCTTTCAGTCTGAAATGTGTTAGTGTTGGAGGTTTTATGATAAATGTGAGAGAACCGATTATTATAAATTTTTTATCTCCATATATATTTATAGCTGGCATATGTTAGAAAATAGTTAAGAGTGATGAAAACATATTTTAGGCTAATTTGTTTTCCAAATTTAACATTGCAGCTTTAATTATAAATATTACAAAGACTGATTTATGGAGTTAACAATAAATCAACCTGATCTTTATCTGCCAGAGCAGCTCATGAATCACCTTAATGTGAGAATCCCACTGTGGTCAGAGTTATACATTAAATATGAACAAAAGCTTTTATCTAAACAGTAGGGCTGTAGCGAAGCCTCGACGAAGTCGATGACTCGATTCTAAAAATTTGTCGACGTCAGATCCGGAAGTCGACGCACCGCGCCCACTTGTTGCATCCCCAGGAGTTTGTAAATAGAGGAGGAATCTGCCCGTTTTTCCTCTAGTTCGCCCTCTTCTCCGCCTTCACTAACATCTCCGCCAAATACCGAAGACCCGGAACAACGTCCGTCCACTACTAGATTATTTTCCTGTTTTGCCCCTTCGTCTCCCGGCAACGGGCAACAACTTCCGGGGTCAGATGCACTGCTTCGTGTCTATCGCAGATGTAGAAAATCACCGGGAGCGCTTCTCCCTTCATTAAGGAGCTTCTTTCAGACATGAGGAGAGCTGTTTTGGTGGTAGCAGTCTCTCCTCCGTGCTGGTCTGTTTGCTGCTGGGTGTTTTTGGTTTATTTAAACTTGGTAACTTTAACTTAATGTTGGTAAAGCTACTGTTAGCATCTTCGCTAACAGCTTCTTGCGTTGGGATAAGCTGTTACGTTTTGGTTTAGAGTTCATCTTTTTTGTGGTGCAGATCTCCCTTTTATTACATTTAGAGTGTTGTGGGTTTTTGGTTTAGTGTAAAATATCACCTGAGTTTGGTTTAACCCGTAAGACCACTCGCCTCACACACATAAGTGACCAAAACAAAGCAGCATGGAGACACTCCATCTTCTACCACCTCTCAGGCAGCAGCCTGCACTCCCAAGTTCTACACGTCACCAGAACATAACCAACCGCAACACAATAAAAGCAGTGTTATACAAAGTGGAAGGCCTGTAGTGTTTATTCTCTTACAGTAAGAATTTATCAATTTTTTTGAGGAATTTATTTGAGATTTTCTGGTTTTTGTTAATTGTGCAATAGAAAAATAATCATTAGATTAATTTTCTAAATAGTCATTAGAATAGTCGACTATTCGATAAAATAATCGTCAGAATAATCGTTTTAAAAATAATCGTTTACCCCCAGCCCTACTAAACAGAAAAGAAAAGAGTTTGAAAACAAGAGTGTGAACAGCTAAATTTAAAAATGGATACCGTTTAATCATGTTGCAAATATCAAAAGCTGGAAAATAGGAATAAAAATGGACAAATGTCAAATTCAAACATAAATCTGAGGTGACATTTAGGGGAAATGATGCCTCAGTAAAAATCTTAAAACCAGCCTTTAATACTGAAGCTCCTTTACAGGTGAGGAAACTTAGTTCATGTTTTCAACCTCATGAGGACTTTGTGCTTAAACTAAAACACAGAGAGGAGGGTCTCTCTGTTGCTGGCATAAATCTGCAGTTTCCTGATGGGAAGCCTGTTACTCCCCCAATACCCCTTCCCAACCACGTCACACACATATACCCACTAACACACATATCTCATGTACACTGTGCAAGACCTCCCATTGCCTCCCTGTCTGAATTGGGGGTGTCCTGCCAGGAAATCCATCAGGCCGTCCTGAAAGCTGCTTCCTGGAGGCAGCAGGAAAACAGCAGACAAGCAAAGTCTAGGAGCTGAAAACACACACACACACACACTGCTGACAAGTACTGAACAGTAACAGATGACTCGTCACACTGCGCTTAGATAACATGCTATAATTTTATGGCGACTTGTGTATATATGACGTTTGCAACAGAGTTCACAAACAGTGTCATTTGATTTCAATTATACTTCTAAAAATGTCCCTTCCTGCCTCCCGTATCTTCATCATAAATAAATATTTTCTTTGCCAACATCTTGTTGATCTCTCCATCTACTGAAAACTTCAACTTTCATTACAATCAGGTTGACTTCAAACATCACATGCATCCTGACGTCCCTCCCTCTTCCTTCCAGATTCTTCAGCAAACACAATCGGCCACATTCAGCCTCCACAATGAAGCATTATGCCTCTTAAGTGTCTTTGCTGTTTTCAAAAAAGTTTTGTGAGGCCTCGTTGTTTCCTCCAAATTAGCCCCGACCCACATAGACGGAGTCCAGGTTCAAAATGCCACTAAGTGAAATCAATAAAGTCAAAGGGGAAGTACGCCACTTGGAGAATTGTTGGGTGAAGATGAAGCTTTAGTGGTAGAGCAGTTCCAACGGTGGAGCTGAATCAAAGTCAAAACGGGGCCCCTTTCAATGACAAGACACCTTGTTTTGGAAAAACCCCACTAGCTCTCTGCTTCTGCGCCAGTTTTTCAAGTTTTGATGTTGATTTATGTCAAAGAGGAATAAAATATTAATCCAAATGCATGTTTGAACGTCAGTGTTAAAGGTTTAGGTCTGCCAAGAACATGAGGATACTGACGGGCTTTCAGGGATCCCGTTCAGACCTGGCACCAACATTTTGATAGGGATGATCAGCAGCATGCTCAAGTCAAATTCAAAGGGAGTTTGGGACATAGATCTCCACATTCTTTGGGTCGGGCACTGATTACATTTTCATTTTGACACAACAAAGACTCCATTTAAGCCTACTGGTCAGTGCAGCAACTACACACAAAAACGTCCAGGAAAATGGAGCACAGTGGCTTTTTCATGGCAGCATCGCATTTAGGGAGAGACAACATTTAGGAATTCATTTCACATGTGAACAAAGTCTCCACTGGTGATCAGATCATCAAGGACAAATGATTATGTTGGTTCTGCACGAGGCCCAAGAGATTTTCCCCAATACTCCTCGTCTTCAATGAACCCTGTTACCTTTACTGCAGCCATGTGTACTCTACAGCTCCATGTGAAATATGCAACATGTTTCCTAGTTTGAATCTCTAAACTGATCACAGGCCGGTTTTTAGATAGACTCAAAATGATATTTTTTTCCTCCCTGTTTACCACTTTGTTGGAGGTTATAGGTCTATTCCCAAAACGGTCAATAAAAATCGATTATAATTCAATAATTCATAAAACCATCACTAGGAGGCTCAGTTTGTGTCCCAGCAGCAGCAGCAGCGACCTACCAGACAGAGCGTCCTGTCCTGAGACATTCACAAATGAAATTTTCCTCAATTAGCAAGTTTCCAGTTTCTCTTGAATCGTGTTAAATCCGGGTCCAAACAAACCTTGTTTTTCCACTTTCAAAATCTTGTTTCCCTTCCCTCAATATGACAGAATGTAAATGTGTTGAAGTTTGGCTTAAACATGATCGGCCAGAACATTTTCGTTCCTAGCCTTGTTTCTTTTTCCTCCAGTCACTGCAGCTCTTTGTGTCTTTTCAAGCCAAACAAATGTGGTAAAACAAACAAGCTTAAGGCATCTCACACAGTGTTTCAGGGCTGACCTAGATATCTGCTTCACAGATTTGTGTTTAAGAGAGGACTGCGACCCATTTGTCTCTTTAACAACAGTAGCCACTGGAGTCTCCAGATGTTTGATTCTCATTACTACAGAACAAGAACAGATGTTAGCCCGTTTCATGCCCACAAACAACTAAAATACTGTATGTGTCTACTATCATGTCATTTCCTTTGCTGGTAGAAATTACACTAGTTCTGCATCTGTTTGAAGGAGGGGGGTCGAGGTAATGAGAAGGCAGTGGATGCGTCCAAGTCTTTGAAATGTCTCCTGGAGAGCACACCTTAATCATCACAGAGATGCTCTGTAAAAATACACGTTTGTGAGTTCTAATTCAGTTGTCCATAAAGCAGTGATTCAGTTAGCTTGTCAGACATGGTACAGTTATTACTCTTGCAGTCCCAGTGGGATGTAATTTGTTGTCTGCCAGGCATTACCAAGTTTAATGGGACATATCAGAGCCCTGTGGTCAACTGAGATCAGCTTCCATTTCATTCCATCCAAACTGCAACAAAAATTTCCTTTGAAAAGTCTCTTTTTGTCTCTCTGTTGCATTTTCTTCTAATTTCTTTTCATCTGCACCTAATTCAGCAGTTTGGGTTTTGTTTTACATTTAGTGGTAAGACAAATTTAAAATGGTATAAAAAGAACACCTTTTAGACTTTTAAAATATGTTTGCATATCCTTTGTTTGTCCGTAAATTATTTCGTAACATTGAAAATTTTTCACTTACCCATTCAACTTTAATAAGCCGCTTGACCTCGACAGTCAGAAGAAATTTTATCAACATTGATGACTTAAAATAATAGCATTTTGCGTTTAAGAAGCCAGACTTTTTCTTAATTCTTTTAAAGGTGTGGGAAACTCCTTTAATCAATTTTCAGTGGTCTCTGGTGGGAATGAA